GTGCTGATTATCACCTCTGAAATAATTTTTTCTGGCCAGCATTTTTTATCTTTTGTCAGTATTTAATTTAAATTGGGAAGTAAAAAATATAATTTAGCAAGTTTTTTTTTTAAATTTTGTATTCAGCCAGTTAAATTCTTATAGTAGGCATTAAATACTTCAGTAAAATAATTTTTATCAAATAGAGGAGACTTGAAATGCAAATTTCCTATTTCGCCACAGAATTTATATTAAATTATTAATATGCCCATCATTAAGCATTAAAAACATAAAAGGGCGCTATTTAAGAGTTAGTAAAAGTCATGCTATTATTTTTGCCAACTAATGACCACAATATATTTTATATTCAAAAATTATCAGCAAAAGATGATTTAAATTTTTAATATGTTTCTAAAAACTTCATGGAAATGATTAGTAATTTGTGTAAAAATTATTATTTTTTTATAATAAATTTTTTTTTTAAATATTTGATTTTTCGATAATATCTAAAAGTTGATGAAAATAGGTTAACTTGATTTATTTAACTTTCGTTTTATTATTTAAAACCTTAAATCTTTTAGGGAATTTGAATTTAAAAAACATTTTGATTTAATTAAAGTATTGCAGATCCAGGTGAAAAAATGGTATAAATTTATAAATCCGGGCCAAAATAAAAAATCTGGGCTGGCCATTATCATTACTTAGCTTATAATAATATTTAGCTTAATATCACATAGACTAGATATCCAATTCTTATTTTACAAATATTGTTTTGTTTAATTTTCACCAAACCTGGATCGGAATAAGGCCATAACATACATTATATTGTTTAGGATTAATTAATAATAATTTAAAAACTTGGTTAGGTTTAATATTAATCACTAATTATTATTCATAATTTTGTTTAACAATTTTATCTGAGAAATTTTTATTTGGAAAAATGTTATAGGAATTTTTTTTAATTTTGTAAGAAAAAATTTTACATATTTTATATGGGTTTTGTTAATTTTCCAAAAATAATTTTATATAGGAATCAAAAAATATGGGAATTGTTTTCCGGGGTAATTTTTTCCAGGGAATTATTTTCAGTTTTCCGGGGAATTATTTTCCTAGGGAAATTTTTTCAGGGGATTTTTTTTCTTCTGGGGAATTTTTTTCCGGGAAATAAATTTCCTAGGATTTATTCTCCGGGATTTTTTTTCTGGGGAATTATTTTTATATATAATTTATAAGTAAAATAGTACAAAAAATATATTATAAGATTAGATATTTTTTGTAATAATTTTTTACATATTATTAACAATTGATTTAAAAAATTTTGATCAGATAAACAAAAATATTCAACATATCTTTCACCATGCTATACATACGTTCAGCTGTCGCAGGATGGGAGGGTTGTATTATACTGAATAAATAAAATTTTTAATTGGGGGAATTTGATAAAAGTTAAAGAATAATCTTTATTTTGAAAAAAGTTTAGTTCATCGTCAAACTTCATTACATCCTTATCCAAAATCTCTATTAGAAAATAATTTGTACGTGTGTTGTTTTTTAAAGGAATCAAGTGTTTCTTTTCTTTGTCAAGATATTTTCTCAAACAGGAAATAAGTTCAAGTTTGCTTCCTTCGCTGACATCCAGTTTTACTTGTGGTCATTCTCTTTAATAAAACTATATTAATTTCACGGAGTTATAGAAAGAGTTTCATTTTGTTAAAACCAGTTTAATCAAATACCCCACTATTTCCTTAAAATTGGGTCCACAGTTTGGAGGATGCCCATGTTTATTCCACAATTGAGGTTAAAATATTTGAGTTAGGACATGATTTAGACTTATAAAGTGTAAACTTTGTACTCTTAGTTTTCTTTATTGGTATAAAAAATGTTCCACATTGGAGCAAAGGCAGCTTTACTGATCTTTATCTGAGAAAATGTAGAATTGACATAATATTCTTTATAAAAAAAATTTATAATATTAATAAAAATAAAAATATAAGTTTACATACATTGATTGATTCAATTTTAATTAGTTTAACAATCTTGACTGAAAATTTAACAACGAAAATTTAAAATAAAAATGAAGGAATTTGATGGTTGATGTGAATTAAAAACTCGGCTCAAATTATTTATAATTTTAAAAAAATTAAGAAAAGTAATTTTATAATACAATAAAATATGTTTTTTCCATATTTGTTAAAAAAAATTTGAAGTAACATTTTGCGTTACCGTCACTCAAAAAAAAAGAAACCCATTACAGTAAATTTATATAATATATAATTTTATAAGTAACGAATAACCCGTTAATTTTTTTAATAACCAGTAAAGCGCATTCCTTTTTTACAAGAGAACGAGTAATGGTAAAGCATTCCTTTTTTCAAACGTAACGAGTAACTCATTTATTTTTTAAAGTAACGTTTTCAGCACTTTATAAAACTGATAAAATTTTATTAAAAATATTGTCAAGAAAAATTTGAAGTAACTAGTAACAATTTGCATTACCATTATTCAAAAAAAAAGAAATGAGTTACTATTACTCGTTACCTCTAAAAGAAGGTAACAAATGGCGTTCCTTAACGCCATTAGTAACGACGTTACTTTACAGCACTAATTGTAAATACAAATATAATAATAAATTTATTAAATATAGCGGCGCTCGAGGTGTTAAAAAAATATATTGAGATTAGTGCAAAAAATTTTTATATAAAAAATGTAATATAGTGATGTGGTTTAACTTGAACGACAAAATTTAGTCGACTAAAACGGACTTAAGTCGAGTTTTTAATTGGAAAAATCGACTCCAACTTCGAGCATCTAAATAAGTCGACTACCTAAATGTCGTTTTGGTATTTAATAATTAAAGGATCCTGTAAAATTTTTTATAAGATTTGATTTTTATAAAATATTGGGGTTTTCTAACTAATTTGATTGCTAGAATTTTTGGTCGGGTTACTCCTACGACTTTTAGTCGTGGTCGGAAGAACTTGTGTGAACAACAATACTAGCAATATGTATTATATAACTCTAAAAGTTATTTATTATTGTATTCTTTAATTATAAATTTATTCGATTTATATCAGGGACAAGGCATTATTGCATTCTTGTTCCCGTTCCATGTTTCACAAGGCTTTCATAAAAAAATCTAATCTAATTTTACTTTATTATATTAAATCAATTTTTACACTGTCGTATTAATTAAGACATTTTCTAAAAAAAATATAATTTATGAGTGACAAAAAACACATTTCTACACGATATTATCCATTAAAATTTAAAGCTTGGAGGAAAAATTCATTTTATAATATAATATTGGGATTAAGAAAATAAAAACAAATATTTACGAATGAGCCATCATATATAATTTTGAATTTTAATATTATTTTTCGAAACTTTCCAAAACTCCCGGGATCAGCGTTCCATAATTTACCCCGAGTTCCGTGTCCGAAACATGATTTATAAAATAACAGTTTCAAATAAAATACTAAATTAATATACAATTCTCCTATATATTTTACAACTGCCTGAAAACCAAAATGCCTTAATCTATATAAATTTACTCAAATAAATTAAAATTGTTACCTTATTTTTTTTACTTTTCAATATTCAAAACAAGTCTTAATCTGTATTTCCGAATCTTGTTACAATTTAAAAATCGAAAATAAATTCATAAGTTGCATTATACACATTAAAAAAGGGTAAATATTTAAATTAGAGGTTGGCGAGCCAGGCAAAAAGATTTTCAAGCCGAGCAGGGCAAATTGTGCAAAATATTTTTACTGGCCAGGTAGAAGTTTTGAAAATGATTTTAGTTGATGGCCAAATTTATGTCATTTTCCAATAAAATATTATTACGGGCTGGGCTGGACAACTTGTATAAAATATATTTTATGGATAGTCGAGTAAAAATCGTGGGATTAACAGAAAAACCTTATATAAAATTTTCACGGACCCGTATGAAAATCTATTAAAAATTATGAGTCTTTATATATATGTGTGGAAAGCTTAAAAATAGTTTAAAAAGTTTTTCTTTTAAATCCTCAATAAGTTAACACCGAATTAAACAGTATTTTAAATGTTTTTACTAATTTTAGAGTTAATACCATGTATAGAAGACCTCAACGTAAATAACATTCGAATTATATATTAAAAACAGCTCATTATCTCGTAAATGAAATGAATAACATTCTTGCAAGTCAACTATTCGATTGCTATCAGGTTTAATAAAAAAAATTTGTCACTAAGTTATGAGTTTAGCTAAAAATTCTATCTATGTTAATATTCTACGCATTTGGCATAAACTTTAAAAAGTGTGAATGTATCAAAATGAAAACCAGAGTTTTAAAATTGATTGTAGGTTTTGAACACGAACGCCTGTTCACCTATTGTTTTAAGAAATTAGCCCGCCCGCTCAAAAAATCTCCCGCCCATTCACCTATAAATATTGTTTAACCCACCCAATATTTAAAACTTATTCGATTGGTTCGTTTGATTCTTAATTTATTTTAATGTATTTTTATTTAAACTTATAAAATACACAATATTATGAAATAAAATTTTTTTTTAAAAAATAAATATAAGTAGGTTCTGCACAGTCCTCATTTTAGTCTGAAATTTCCAAGTCATCCTCCCGCTTATTGTTTTAAAAACACTTTTAACGTGCTCGTCAGATTGTTGGCGGGAGGGTTAAAAACCCGCCAGCAGCAGAACTCTAGCTAATATATGACCTGGATTTTTGTGATCTTAATTGCACAGGGCTCTGGATATAATACTTGCCCCCATTCATATATTTTTAGAGGGGAGGGGAGAGGCTACTAAAACCCTAAACATTAAAGATCTATTTGTAAAATGAAGTGGAGTTTCACTTTTCTGTATGAGTGTGACCAATAATAACTTTGGAAAAGGATTTTAAAAAAAAATATAATTTGTTTAGAAACTAGCATTTTAAATCTTTTTTAAATATAAATAACCTTTTTATATAATAATTTTGATTTATTATTATATATTTATGCATTTTAAAAGGTTTTACAAAATGTGCGATTTAGACAATTTGCTTACAAAGTATAATATAATTTTGGTTTTTAAACATTTAATTTTATTAATATAATTGACTAGATAAAAAAAATGTTATTAAAAAAATTCATTTGCTATTAATTATATAATATATATAAAATAATTAAATCGAAGAAGGTTTAAAAAATTGCATGTTAAATTTAGATTTTGACTATTAACAAATTTCGCAGTTGCTTATCATATTAAGAATTAATAATTGGCACATAATAAAAGATGTAAATGAGACCAAAAAAACACTTTTAAAATTAGAACTTTTTTGATAAATATAATAATCGACATAACATTAAAATTTTTAAAAATAAATTTATTTATTCTTTGTCATCTGGCCAATCGTACATATCCGGAATATATGATTCGTAAGAATAATCATATGCTAAAGACTTAACATAAGCTAGCTTATCAGTGGGTTCATCTATATTACATATAGAACTGGTCCCGCAACATATATCACCATAATTATTACTAATGTCATTCTTGTTCCCATTAATGTTTTCGTTATCACCCAACTTACTGTGACACTGGAAAGATTTCGAATTTAATTTGCGCATGTTGAAGGCGTATTCGACAACTTTAGAAGCGATGACGAGAGAAACATTTCGAATTTCGCTTAAGGGAGGATATACTTTACCCTCTTGTAGATGCATGTCCTTAACCTCATCCGCTAGAGCCTACAGGAAAATAAAGCATGTTCTCAATAAAATATTAATAAATAACATGTAATATTAATCAGTGGTGTTACTATTGGGTGTGATAACCGGTCAGGACACCCCCTAATCTAAAAATATTTACAAGATGCATATTTAATGTATTAAATTTTTTAAATATAAGGGATGGGTTAATAAATTGGTCAAAAATTTTAAAATCGTTATCTCCAAACAATAAATCTGAACATAATTCAAGCTTTGAATTAAGCTAAAAATAATTAAACGCAAATATTTATTGATCTTTGCAAAAATATAACCTAGGATTTTAAATGATTTTCTAACCCAAGATATAACGTTTTAATATTATATAAAAAAAAATTATACCTTTTATAGATATTATTAACAAAATTTACTAGCCATATTAAAATAATTAATTTCATTTTTTATTACCAAGATCTAGAGAGCAGCAAATTAGTTTGTAATATTATAATTAGTATAAAAAGATTGGCTTCGTTTTATGTTTCCAATATTTTATGTATTATAAAGTATTAAAAGTTTTAGATACCCAATTTTAGTAGAATAATTTTGGTTCGATTAGTTTTCAAAAAGGTCTCATAATCCTAATGAAGTATTGGAAAACTTTGAAAAGCCTTTGAGTCTTAGGGTAAAGATTAAAAATATGTTATATTACCTACCATACTTTTTCCAAATTGAAAAAGTTAAAAGGTGACAAGGAAGGTTCTAAGCAATCAAGGATTAATGGCTTAAATTAGTAAATATATACTAAGGTCAACCATCAAAATGTATTGGAAGAAAGTTCGATGAGAATTAAACCGAAAATTCAATTTATATAAATTTTAGATATCTATTTCTAATCATTTTTCTACCCAGTTTATACATTTTATTAATATTAGAATTTTTTTCCATAATTTGTATAAGCAATCAATTTTTTTGATAGAACTTTAATCCTTTTACCGAGTACATTTTATTTATCTTTGCATTATTATATTTTTATAATTTGTTTTATACAATTCATATCATGTTTTAACCTGTGCAATTTATATTTTACGCGATATTAAATATTTTTTTAGTTCGCAATTTTATTCCTTTGAAATTTTCATATTAAATAAATAGATATAATAAATGTAATAGAGTTATTAATTATTTTTTTAAAATTAGAAAAGCATATGTAAATTTTTGAAAAAAAACTTACAACTGAAAGCCGCTAAAAAATTTTTTAATATGCAATACCTTTTACTCAAAAATCCTTGTTACGCCACTAATATAAATTGTAAAACTTTCAATTAATAATTTCATTTACTTTAGCGGCCACCAAAAAAACTTCGTCATTAACTGTTCTTAATCCAGATGCGATAATACCCATCCCAACTCCAGGAAATATATAGGCATTATTTCCTTGACCAGGATTGTAAATCTTTCCATTGTAATTTACGGGAGGATATGGACTACCGCTTGCAAAAACGCATTTTCCCTTCATATTTTTTTAAGTTTATAGAAGAATTAAAAATTTTTTTTTTGCTAATTCCTTTTATTATATATTGTATCTTATGACTAATTAAATTAGTAAATATAACTAATATAATGTAATAATTAAATTGTATGTATAACGAACATATTATAGCAAAAAGGAAGAACATATATCGATTTTTTAAAAAATAAAATTAATAAGAAAGGGGATTGAATGAGAAACTGGCCTACCCGGGTTAGTCTGGGGCTATTAAAAGAAGAAAAAAATCTGCTTTTCAGTAAGTAACAACTTTAGCTATAAAAACTTCGAAACCATCTTTCTATCTTATATGATGCTAATGAAAAGGTGGTATTCACTAAACATGTATATGGAAATGAGTGAAAAATAATGTAAAATTATATTATCATTGTATCAATATTATACGATTCATTGGATATTCAATTTTGACAATTTTATTATTAATAAATTCTTATCATCATGAAACACATTTAGTTGCTTCACATTTCGTTAGCTTATCATTATGATACAGATTTTAATATAATTTAATTTTAATGGTAGGTCTTTTAATAAATCCACTATGTTTAATATCTCAAATTCTTACTTTTTATAATAAAAATAAAAATTTAATTCTATCTCTAATATAATAAAATATATATATTTTGAAAAAGAACTTTAGAATTTTCGTAAGCACTTTGGGCTGTGCATTCAGATTGGCTCGTGGGATTACTTAATGCAAATATAATGGGCCTTTCATTGAGTTCGGACATCGATTGTATGATCTGTGGAGTAAAAGTATTTCCCACCCCGGCAGCTCCTAATTAAAAAATAATAAATGAATTTTAGTTTTCAAATGAATATAAATGTTTTTCTACACAAATTTTTTGAAAGATTTAAGAAAACAAATTATATTATAAAATATGAGAATATAGCATCGCAGCGTTGCCAGCAAGTGCTGTTTTGAAAAAAGTATGAAAAATATGATATTTTATGGTAATTATTTTTATCAAACAAAGCAAAATCAACGAGACGCAGGAAAATAATTTTTTGATTTGCAAAATTCAAATGTTATGTCTCGATTTTCGATATTAGGTTACCATCGCAATGGATTCTTTGAAAATAGTCGTGTTAACAGCAGGCGCGTACGCAGGAATTTGGTCTGGGGGAAGGGGGAATAAAATTTTTTTAAGAAATATTATTGTTATTTAAAAATATCAAGCATAAATTTATTAGGACTAATAACTTTTCTAAAACACAATTTTAAATTAATGTGAATTATAAAATATAAAGTGAATATAACCACCATATGAATCACTTAAATGACCCAAAATTGAAATTTGAATTTTTCGAGCCTTTAAAATTTATATATTATAAAGTATAAAAAATTTAAATGTTGGAAATATAAATTTTAATACACAAAAAGTTACTTAAGAATAATTGTATTTTGTATGTTTTGAGCTAATTTTTCAATTATCTCATCCTTGCTTGGCGTTAAATGCCTATGAATATTTAAAAGATCCAAATCATTCAATCTACTTTCAGAAGTTGTACTTCAGTATGTTTTTAGTGACTTGTTTTTAAAAAAAATATCCGGGCAGGGCTGTATATTTTAAATCCAAATATTTGAAATCGCCACTTTTAGCTATAAAAATTAAAAACAAATATAATTTATTTTTTAAAAATTCAGGCCAGGCCTGAAAATTTTTTTTAAAAAAACCCTGGCCGGGTCGAAAAATATTTTGAAAAAATATCCGGGCCGTGCCCTGCAAATGGTACTTCTGTAGGGCTCTGTTATTCTTCTTAAAAAAGAGAATGTTCTCCGTTTACTAATGGGAAGTTGCTAATATATATATAACCATTTTAATACATTGGTAATATAATCTAAAATGTGTTTGAAATAATGTAAAGCATCCATCGAATTTTTGGGATTGTATCAACCATAGTTAATCTATTAATCATAGTTATTCAGCTAATAAGGCATCATAAGATACTTTAACATCTTCATGATAAAAATATAATAAATATTTTTTTTTCTATCACCACCTGAAAAAGGTTGGAAAGGCTTTAGTGGAAGTAATATCTGCAGATTGGTGTGCTGCATGATGAATTAAATATCATTCATTTATTTGGTTTATAAATGTAATAAGAGAGGGGGCATTTTTATAATACTTTTCTACTGATCCTATATTAATGTTTTGACGAAGCTTGCTTGTTACAAGTCGAGGGGGACAAATATTAAACACGTATATCTAGCTCTGTTTTTGACTCAACAATAACATATAAAATATGAAATTCTTCATCAACATTAGCTCTTTCCGTGAGTTCTAATCTCTCCGCTATTCTCATCTTCTTAATCAAGTCAATGTCATGTTTTTAAAAAAGTATTACATAAAATAGTTGTATAATTAAATAATACATTCTAGAGAAAAAAAATCCAATAATTTTTTTGCTAATATTTATTTCAAGCCATTGTGATATTTCAGTAATAGCATTAATAATCGGCTCTTCTAACTCCATAAAAGCGGTTATTGCTTGATGGCGGAGACTTGATCTCGTTGAACAAGTTTGCAATTTCTTTCTCCCTGTTGGACAAGGAGTTTCAGAGATAATTATTATTTGACTAGAAATTTAGATAAATATTACGCCACTAAAATTTGAAAGGTAAATATTACACGAAGGAAAACTTGAAATCGAAGATAAAATAACTTAGTAGATATATGTGATAAATAAATGTTATTTAATATATATGAGATAGGAATAAATATTAACAAATATGAATTAATATTAACAATAATATTTTTGAAAAATATAATCCGGCAACTGCATTTTTTGGCTTGGGGGGGATTAGCCCCCCCCCCCCCCCGCTGAGTACGCGTCTGGTTAACAGGTATAAATAATAAAATTATATTTTAAGAATAGTTTAGATTTACTAGTTTCACATATTTATTTGTTAAGAGGTATTTCTAAATTTTAAAAAATGAGATTTTTCAGAGAATTAAATTTTTCTATATACAAAAATATTTGGTCTATAGTTTTCGCTTTACGTTCTAAAATCTTAGGACATTATTATCAAATATTAACATAAAAAATTAATTTTGAAATTACGCAAGCTATTGATTTCAAATATAAAACCAAGTATAAATTTTATGAGAAAAATTTAATCCTCTTTATGGGGCATTTATTAGTATAATGATAATCTTGATTAACGATTGATTAAAATGTTGTCAGTTAGGAGAAATTTAATTTTTCGCTGATCCTTTCTTATCCATAACCGGTAAAACCTTAGGGGTGACAGTAACTTCGACGAATAGCAATTTTAGTAATCAGTAAAACTGTTTAGTGACCATATTTACCTGTATATAATTAGGAATGAAAATAAAATAAATACCTATGAGAATATTCGGTTTAACTGCCCTGACGATTTCTAAAAGATCGGTCATTGGAGGGTGATCTTTGGCGAACCTCCATTTGTGATTGCTATCATATTTGCCATTGTCTCTTTCCTGTGTTTATGAGGGAAAAATATTTTTTGTAATTAATATATTATTATAAAATAAAAAGGCTAATGATTAAAAGAACGTGTAAAGGATAAGTGACTGCTTTGCCTTTGTTTCTCACATATACCTATGGGAGAAAAAATATTTTCATTATAATGAACATGTTATCATAAATTATAAAAACTAATTAAAAAGAAAATGTAATGGATGGAAATATTTTATGTCTAAATAAGTGTTTGCTTTAAAAAAAATTTCAACCATTCTTAGTTTATTTCCTATTTTGTAAATATTTAAATAGGTCATTTATTCGTGATTTTACTTTTCGTACTTTTAAAAATTGAATGTCTTTAATTAACATGCAATGTATAAAAATGTTAAACATATTTTACTAAAAACATTCTTAAAATTTAATAATAATCGATATATAATAGTTATCCTTACGTAAGGTTCTTAAATGCAAGCATGGAAACTTAAAGTTATTTAACTTTCTTTCATATTTCATAGATGTGTTTAAAAAGTAATATTTTTTTAAAAGGAATAAAATAAATTTCTATTTAAAAAAGAAGGCATCTGATAATTATACAAAGCTGAAATATAGTTCAGCTAGATATCAACGCATTATGTTTTTATAGCCAAATTTTTGATAATAGCGTGAACAATGAATCCAAGAACTGATTAAATATAAAAAAAAATTTTAAGCAACTCTAATTTTAAAAAAAATGTTAGAATTTTAGTTATATTCTTTAATTTATTTTTACCCTAAATTCTTCGATTGTGGTTGGCAACTTATAATAAAAAAATACATTTTTTTATTTTAAAAAATTGTAAAATAGAGTATACCTTTATTATAAGACCCCTACTATCAACTAACCATATCTTGCTGATAGCTTCTTCTTCGGATATCCCAGATTTCACCATGGACATGGTCAGCAAACTAGCTATGCCAATTGAAGCCTTAAATTTTTTAGGGAAAATCATTTTTATATATCGTTATGCAAATGAGAGAAATTAATATGATGCAATTATAGATCTATCTTAAAAATTATTTTTTTGTTTTACAATTATATGAACAAAATTGGCATTAGAAATTAAAGGTATAAATAAGAACTATATTAATTTACAGCTATAATATTTATATGAAAAATAAATGACGGATAAAAGAAAAGAATGCGAGATATGATGAAATATAAGATAAGAATAGAAAGTATCAATGGTTGATAACAAACATATTAAAAATTTTAAGATAGCAAAAAACTATTTACAATAATATCATTTATTTTAAATAAATAACATTCCTCCATGTCAAATCAATCAAAAAACATTATTTCTGCGGGATCCCTTGGGATTTTGGTAATTTTTTTTATACAAATTTAGGCACATGTAGCCAATGTTCGATTTTTTCATCATAATTATTTAATAATTAAAGTCAAAAAAATAAAAAATGATTTATTTTTAAGCTTATATATTATTGTCATTCAATTAAAGATTTACTAAAAACTACCAAATATTAAATTGATTCTAATATCAAAATGAAGTGTATACATTTTATTTTATTTAGTGTGGTGGCTCATTTGATTCCATTCTAAAGTCTAAAACTTAAAATAATGAGTTTCTCTGATTTTTATAAAATTTAAAGTATCATGAAGACCAATCTATATCTATAAAAAAATAGGAATACCAAGTTTTCTCTTTCATAGTAAAAGTCGATATAAACACTATAAAAAAATAATTATTTCTTTAGTACAATATGTAATTAATCGTAAATATTAATATAAAATACTTTTATATAATGTTCTTATATTAAAGAATCTAGAACTTTTGCAATATTTATATATTTAAAAACAGTAATTTACATGTACTATAACCAGGTTGAGCAAATTTCCAGAAAATTGATATAGATACAGATGTTTTTTTAAAATTTTGTATTTAAGAAATAAGCTACTTAGCAAAAATTTCAATTTTGTGGCATTCTTTACCTCTGCAGTAATTTTATTATGGGTATGTTCATGTTGAGTGGCCTCAAAAAATTTTCCATTTAATATGCTTAATTTAATTGTAATTGTATCTTGAATAGCATCATTGTTTTTACTTTCCGATTCTATAATTATATCTTCGATAACTTGGTTCATGATTTTTGGGGTAATGATGGATGGCGATTTTAATAAAATATGGTAGTTGTTTAATAAATTGCTATTGGAAGCCCAATGTCATATATTATTACCTATCTTAAAATATCTAAGCTCGAATTAAATTTTTAAATAATATCATTTTAAAATTTCAAACTATTTAAATTAACTACTATAAATTTTTTTAAAAGTATCTTTATCTTTTTGAATGCAAAGTTGAATAAGGTACAGATATTTTAAAATTATTTGTATCTTGGATACAAGATCTTTATAGAAACGTTTAAAAAAGATACAAAAGTATCTTGTATCTTATATACAAATATCCCTGATACTGTTGAACCCTAACTATTACCATGTTACCCAAAAATATTTTAAATCATCTAACCTAAGAATTTTTAATTTTTTTGTAAAATTGAAGATATTGCATAAATATGTGTTGTAGATTTTTTATTAATATAAAAATACTATACAAATGTAGTTTAATATTAAAATTGTTGAACAATGCTTTTTTTTAATGTTTTTATCAATTTTCCACATAAAATGGAAAATTGGGTATTCCAATTTTTTTCTATACAGATATAGATTGATCTTTATGACATTTGCTTAAAGTTTTATAACAATCGGAAAAGCTTGTGAATTTTAAACTTTATAATGGGGTCAAATGGAAAGACACATTTAAAAAAAATTTATTGATAGAATGTACACATATTATCATGATATTAGAATCATTTTTCTGTAGATTTTAGTAAATATTTTCGATTGATAATTAATAAGCGTAAAATAAGTCATTTTCCATATTTTGGCCCTAAAAATATAAAATTTAGACTTCTAAAATTTTAAAACCGCATTAGTAGCATGAATCTTAGATTTTAAATAAAATTTCACCCAAATCCCAAGGGGTCCAAAAAATAATTGATTTGACAGGGAATGACTTAAATTTGAAATATTGTATAACCTCACCGGCCCCCAAAAACAATATCTTGTTTTCTTTCAACGGTTTTTTTGTTATTTTTACAGCTGCATACAGGCCGGCTACAATAACAGACGCGGTTCCTTGTTAAAATATATATATATAGCACATTATTAGTAAACTTTTCTTCGTTAATTCCTTTCCTAAGGATCATTTAAGTGTATGTTATTTTACAAGGCGAAAAATAATGTTATCATTACGAAATCTTTATTAATTCTTGACCCTTAATACAATAATTAGCTCAAAGTAATCCCTCTAATTCCCTTTCAAAAATTAAAAATAAATTCATTAAAAAAAATTATTTATATTTTATATTATTTAAAATTTTATTCAATAGGCATAGGAATAAATAAATATAATTTAGGATATAAACACGAAAAGAATATAACGAATTTTTTTTTTCATATGTAAAAAAACACTTTTAAATATAATAAAATTTTGAAGCACTTAAAAAGTAAAAACAATGCCAACATAAGGGGGGCGGGAGGGCAACGGTCCGTGTAGACAAAATAAGACTATTTTACGAATGGCCAAATTTTGATTTCCTTTTTTTTTACTATTTAACTTCCCTATTTGCTAATTTTGATTTTATTTATTTTTGCTAATTTTGATTAGAATTTCCTTGTATAGGTTAAATAAATTGAATTTTTAAAGGGTCGATGAATTCATTTTCACCCCGAGCCGTCAAAAGTCAGCACTGCCCTGAATGGAAAAATGAAATTAAAATTTCTGTCCGGTAACATAATATTTAATGTTTTAAGTAGGTTTATTAATTATTTTCATGTAATTTTTTAATAAACAAATTTAGGAGATGTTGGTGTGCCATGGGAGATATCAATAATGAATGTGCAATCACCTTACTGTTGACCGAATCAAAAACTCCTTTACATATATTTCTATAAAAGAATGTTCTTGAATACTTAATTTTCTATTTGTATTCATAAATTTATCTGTTTTAACATTTTATAACTTTACATTCCAAAGAAGAATGAAAAGCTATCCTCCCGTTTATAGATATTGATCATGGAAGGTGCTACCGAAGTGTCTTGAATAGGTGGTCATTTAGTTAGTGATTTAACTTAAACAATTGTAAATTTATAATTTTAAATGAAGCTAGTTCAGTTCTACCCAATACCACAGATATTCAATTTTTTAATCTAATGTTTAAAAAAATATAAGATTTCAAGAATAAAAAATCCACACCAGCTTGAAATTTTTGTAATTTGTTTATAAATTTATTTAATGACATCACTTAATAAAAAAATAACGCACACTACATAAAAGGAAATTCTATAAGATATACTATATAAATATATTTTTTTAAATATATCAATTTTTAGAATATTATCAGCAATAGAAAAGACTCTTCTGCGTGAAGGTGTATCAATGTTTCTAGTTTTACTGATAATTCTTCTAGTATTCGCGTGGTTAGCTTGAATAAAAAAAGAGGGGTATGGAATTAATCAGATTTTTAGATGCAGTATTGGGAATTGATATCAGTATAAATAAAATTATCGGTAATTTTTTTTCATGTATCGATATTTGTCATCGATATACCTATGGTTATTATAAAGATATATATATTTACCCTGTATATCATCGTTAAAGGTACAAAATTGATGCCTGTATTTTTCTAGAAACCTGAAAGCGTTCGAGTTGGCAAAATCTTCAAATTGTATGAGGCAATGTGGACCGTACCTTGATTAAGTTGATAAAAAAAATTGGGAAATGGGAAAGATAATATACAGACATGATCCAAGTGTAATATAAAATTTCAGCTCCTACCAGAAAATTACTATTTTAAAACATTTGAAAATTGTAACAGAAATTTTGGCGTTTAGATATTTAAACTAAAAAAATGAAATAAGGTACTGTAGTTGCGAAATTCTCTAAGATGTAATATGTTTCCAAGCGATTAATATTTAAAAAACCAAAATTAAATTGAGGAAATATATACACTTATAAACAAATTTTTAGAAAATTTTTTCCTGAAACCGCATAAATGAGATATTTCTAATTTTTGAAATTTTACACTCAATTTATTCATGTGAGGCGAAAATTAATTAAATTTTTTATCAAAAGTAAAATTTAATTGATTTTATTTAGTTCATCTTATTACATTATATTGTTTAGTTTTGTTTGATCGATATTATCAATTGATTGATCTTCAAAAACAAAGAAAACTCCATTATTTAGGCACAGAGATCAAATTCTATTGGGAAATTTCGCCAGCAAAATTTTTCCAAGATATAAAATTTCAGATATTGTAAAACTAACGCTTATTATTATGTTAACCAGTGATGAAAACGTTACTTCATATTAACACCGTTACTTTTATGTTACTGTCGAAAGAAAAGAATATATTTTTCTAAGATTAAGAGAATTTTTCGATTTTTATTTAGTGATAGCAATTCGAGGTTACCATGAAGGTTTCCTATGGTGGAAAATGATTAAACCTGCGTATAATGGCGTGCATGAATTCATCGATTAATTCATCATAAGCTTGACCCCTTACTCGTTTCTTTTGCAGGCCTAGGTAAGCTGAGTCCTTTTGTAATTCCTTTAATATATATTTTAATATTATATTAAATAGACCGAACAAAATTATTTTTTAAGTAAATCCTCACTCTTCTTTTTTTTAAATTTAGGTTACATCACAATCAGTTATATTACTCAGAGCAAGATAATTTATTTCCTGTCTCCTTTCCTTCCTATTATCTCCCCTTTTCTAATTGAATAAAATATTTTAAAGGGTAACCTGATTATCCGTTCCAACATCTATAGCAACCGGTAAACAATACTTGGGATCAACGGAACCCAGAGCAGTATAAAGAGATAATTTTCCCACTGGAATTCCCATTCCACAAGAACCCAGATCCCCTAGTCCCAAAATTCGTTCCCCGTCCGTTACTACTACCACCTAATAGCAGAAAATTTTTTAGGTTTAAAAAAAGGTAAAGAAAGGAAGAAATGAATTAAATAAGAAGAGAAATAACTACAATTTAAAAATACAAAAAATTGCAGGCAAAATGGAAAATCATGCTATTTAACCCTAATCTTCATTATATTTCACTATCAAATCTTCTTTCACCAAATTCTCCAGCATTGCAATAAATTTTATTAGGTGTAACAAGAAATTTGTAAAAATGGTCTAGTTCGAAACCCGAAAATATTCTTTTATATATATACAATAAAATAATGCCTCCTCCGGCTCAAATAAATTCTCAAATCTAAAAAATCAGGCCATTTTATAGACTTTTAACCCCTAATGCCTCCTTAACTATTTTAAATCTAACCAGACTGGGAATGTCCAAGCTTAAGTCCTCTGTATTTATCAGCAATGCCAAAACTATTTTAATATGATCGTCTAGCACAAATATATTTCCATGCGTTTTTTGCGTGTAAGACAAAATTAATAATAACTCACCAGGTAAAAAAAATTATTATTACTGCAATGACCTAATTGAAATAAAATTCTCAATTTCGTGGATAACTTAAGATCACCCTCTTCCCATGCGCATTGATTATTTAGTTCCTTCCATTTTTTTTCCTTAGCCAAAATTTGATTCCGCATCCCCAGGCCTTTTATGATTTTTCCCATTAAAAGTCATTATAATCGATTTAATTCCCAGCCTTAATTTCTAATGTAAAATGTTTCTCCTTCAATCTAAACAATTTCTTTAAGTTTAAGTTTTTTGGAGCATTATCGTGTAACCTATAATTTTTCTTTTAAGTTTTTACTTAAAATTTTAATATATTCTTAGAATATCAAAATTCCTTTGTGACTCCCTACAAAATTTTCATTTTTTAAAAAGATCCTTAACGGAAGGCATCAATATTAATCATTCCAACGAATACCTGTAGCTCATGTTTATATTAGGTCTTATTATTTTTGTAATTTTAACTCTTTATGATTTGGATCGGCCAACAATTAATATTAAATTAAAAAATGGGTATAGACCTCGAAACACAGCAACCATACTCCTTTGATAGAAAAGCAAATATGAATTCTTAAATGTATTGATAATAATTTAAAAAAGAAAGAAAGCTGTTCATCGACACAACACTTATTCGACGCTGTAAATAAAGGTATAAAAGATCAAACTTTAGATTAGGCAGTATCGCTTCAATTCTCGAACGTGGATAGTTCTTCATAGCCATGAATATAGTTATATAAAAATCTGAGTACACAAGAGTACAGAATTGCGCCATTCCGAACAGACAGAAGTGCCGTGGCTCATTCACATAGGCGTAGCCAGGATTTTTCTAAGAGGGAGGGAAAGTACTTTTAAGTTTGTTTTACCCGTAAATTTTATTGGAGATCATTAAGATCATCTATTGAAGGCCTTGTTTATATTACATTTTTTAAAATAATTATTTTGATTTTTCACTTTTTTTCTAAAAATTTTGAATTATAATCATTATTTTAAAATATTATCTACTTTTGCTTATTTTTCTTTCAAATTATCGTTTATAGTGATATATTATATACATATTTGTGAGAAGATAAATTATTATTAGCTTAAAATGATATTTACGAGAACAGGCAAATTTTCCCTTGCATCCTCCTATCCAAGCTACGCTTATGCTCCTTCACTTTAATAAGCTTACTAGTATAGGTGAGTAATGGCTAAATGTCGAATAATTCGGCTCAATCTTCAGGCGCCTACCCGAGAAAATCTGTTAATATTAAGTCGTTTTAATTTATATCAGTTTCTTCCAAATTTAAACTGCTACTTTTTTAAGAAAAACCCCGAGGTTTAAGTGATAGTTTTCGGCTAAAAACTAGGTTTAGCCGATTTTTTAACCGGCTATAAATATAGTATTTGCCCAACTATACTTACTATACCCCAGAGTTGTTAATAGTGCGCTATCTTTTTTGCTAGCTATATCTAATAGCGCGCTACTTTTTTCCCATTTATTTTTTTAGCGCGTTCCTTTTTTATAAAAAGTAACAGGCTACTTTTAAAAAATAGTAAGAATAGCGCTCTACTTATTTTGATGGGTAGGGATAGCGGTAGCGCGTCACTTTTGACAAATAGCGATAGCGCACTACATTTAAAAGTAGGGTTTAACAACTCTGCTATACAACGGTCTAACTTTTTTCTACCTATTTGTGATATTTTATACTTAACGTAAATAGGTAATCATCTTTATATCAAAAGCCCGGGCCATTCTCACAATACTATCCCCTTCCTTTAGATCAGTCGTCTACTATGGATATACTAATTAGTATTTCAAGATCTCAGAAAGGTCACTCATGCTTTCCCTTAAAGGATCATTGCTTTTTATAGCTTTGTATCTTTATCCTTTATGTAATTATAATACATATTTTTGATAAGTCGAATGTACGCCTCATTAAATGTCAATAAAGAGCATATTATTTAAATTCACGTCTACTTTTCTCTTTCCACATAGTTCTATCATAATAGCTCCACTTTTTCTCGAAACAGATTCTAATTAATCCCTTTTTATTAGAAAATTCCATCTCTCCATGAAAGAAATGAAATTAATCAAGTGGTACAAGCAATAATATAAAATATTTTTAAAGGAAAATAAATTGTCAAAAAAAGGAAATAGGAAGAGTGAAAAAAATAAAGAAAACATGTTATACAATGAATTATGAAACACCTAATATATTGAATCAATTAATCTCAAAAATAACCTTAACATTGGTTTCAGGCCAATTACAGACCAAACTATACACGTGTCCTTTGTCGTTGATTGATATGAATAAGCCTCTATGAATTATAAAATGTTATTTTTAAATAAAACAGAATAATAAAATTAAATAGTTTCAAACTTATAGGAAACTACATTAAATCAATCAGGGATACCTGACCTTCTGATTTTTAAAATTTGCATAATAGCAATATATTTCACAACTTCCGTTACTCCCAGAGTTATAGAATTATGGGCACTTAGAGGGTTAAATTGAGAAAATGTCATTTATATTAAAATACCTGTCAATATAGTGATAGTTGAAGAGGAATTTAAATTTTATTATATTACTTACTGGTTTTTTATATGACATAAAATTTATTATAAAAAACTGGAAATAGCCATAGCAAAAAATTTTAAACAAGTAGATGTTCATTAGACATTTTACATTTATACACAATCCTAAATTGAGTCTAGAATTTATTAAGAGCATATGGCGATTTTAAAATTATTCATACGACTAAAAAAAATTAATTAATTATCAGGTTTGCATGAGATTCAATTTCATCACGCTCGAAGAAATTGAAGCGTGCATCGTGTATTTTGTAATTGTACCCGTTTAATTATGGAGGATGGTACCTATATGTACGTTAGCAAAGGTAAAAGGAATATGTGATGTAAAAATTTATTAGTAATTTCTGACAGGGTAATAAGGTGAATTGATTTTGTTAAGTATACAATGTCTGTTAAAGTTGGCTTATTTTTTCGTTTTCGGTTGTAGTTAGGCATAATAGTTAAATGTTCTGTTAGCTGGTAGGGTAAACCTGTAATACCATGTATATTTTCATGCCATGCCACCTAAGTCTTTTAAAGGAATGAGGGAGAGTGCACTAAATCTATTCTAGTCTTAAATATTAAGATAAGTGTAAAATGATTCAAGCATGAGGAATTTTTACATAAAAGAATTTATTTATAGATGTTTTATTTATTAATACCTTATTAGCAAAGGCCATTAAATGGTATATTACCTTTTCATAGTATAAGTAGAACTAAGCAAACGTCATTTAAAAAAAATGTTATTACTCAAAATTATTTCTATATTGTTTGGATCTTTTGTAGATTTAATTTTAGGTAAAGTATATGTGCAAAATTAATTTTGATTTAGTTCTGTAGTTTGTGAGTTGTAATGATTTTTGGAACTTGGGTTCTGCAAAGACCCCACCCATCGGTGTAATTTCTTTTTATCTGTTTAAGCATAAATAAACACTTTTTTAATATATCATTTTTATTAATTAAATATTAGATTATATTAATATTTGAACCTTAGATAAACATTCTACATCATCAATTTTATTTATATTTTTTTATATCTTAATGTGACATTTTTAAATAATTTCTTGAAAAGGCTGTCATAGAATTTTAAAATAACAATAAATTCTTAAAATAACAGTTATTCACTAAATAGTTTATTTAATATGTATAAAATTTGAAAACTACAAATAGATTTAATTCGAAATAGCACATCTAAATTGGGGTCCGAGAGAAGTCCACCTAAACTTTTGTGTCATTGTTTTTCACCTAAGCTACGAAAGGTTAAATGTGTTTGAAGTATTTAAAAAAATACGAGTCTCTAATTTATGTATTATTTTAAAAAAAAATTAATTGTGTAGTTTTTTCAATTTCTTATGCATTCTACTCATATATTAAGAATATGATTTCACAAACTTTCATAATTTTGGAATGGTTAAAATCCATTTCAGAAGACTCAGGGAAGAATAGAAATCCTAAACTAGAATACTTTTTACAAAATTACTATGTTTATACATGAATTAATTAGTCCTTTAATTGTATTTGTACTTGTAGTTCTGAAAAAAAAGGATTCAAAATATATATTTTATAAATTTTATTAAATTAAATCCAATCCACAAACCAATCCGATCGAACTCTATTTTGTTAGATTCTGACCCTAATCTTAAAATCTATTTCAAATCCGATCGAACCTTGAAATTATTTTTTAAATATATTTGTTATCTGTCTTAACCAATCGTTCTTTTTAATTAATAAAAAAAATCGGATCGGGCCTATCTATTTATAAACTAAGATTTAGCAAACTCGGATTCTTGAAAAAAATAAAGGATAAGATAACGAACAAAATTTTTAAATTTTTGCTTGGATCAGGTCAGATTTAGAAAAAAGTAAGGATAGGATAGGTCGGAAGTTCAGATCGGGTTTGACCTCGAAATTATACTTAATGGCATCTATGAATGGCTGTACATAACTTATACAGGGGGGGAGGATATTATAAGGATAGAATAGGTCGGGTGCTGGGGTCGGGTCGGACCTTAAAAAAAATAGGCCGGTACAGGGCTCTAAAATTAATATTATATTAATTTAAAAAAATTTATATATTAAAAATATTGCATTATATATTTTTTCAATACAGATTTTAATATATATAAAAAACACCTAAGAATTTATAAGCTTTCATAACTTTATAAAACATGTCCAAAATCTAATATTCAAATTTTTTTAAAAACAAGATGCAACAAATGGTGTCGTTAGAAAGCTCAATTCGTGTCGATTATTAAAAAAGGGTCGTTTAAGATTATAAACAAAATAAGCCTATAGATTTCGCTAATAGATAACAGAATGTTTGGACATCTATTTGTTAAATCTCGAGGCTTACATAATATAATTTTAGTTAAGATCTTAATCGGACCGATTTTGGGCTTTTTAACAACACTAAACAAACATAGATAAAAGCACCCTACTGAGGGGAGGGGGGGGGGGGTGGATTTCATATCGCCCCCTCCAACAAATATATTCCCAACTGATTTCACAGAAGATTTGGATTAGTGTATTTAATCCTTTCACAACGATTCTTCATAGGCTATGACGGATTCCACTCTATCTTCCTCCAGGATCTTACATCTCTCCTCATAGTCAACCAGGTCCCAATCCTGTAAAATTTGAAAACCTTCTGTAATAAAATACCACATGAACTCGATCGCAAATTTATCACACTCCTATTTGATGCTAAATTAATAACACTAGAAAAGCCAAATAAGAATATTCAAACAATAGCAATTGGAACCGTAGTTTGCCGTCTTGTTACAAAACTAATATCTTCCAAAAAGGACACCGCAACTTTACTTTTAGCACCCTACCAACTTGGTATTGGCATCAATGGTGATTGCGAAATAGGCACACATGCTATTCTTATCCATCTTCAAAAATCCTAGTCAAATAGGCTTTTTTAATGCCTTCATCTCCATTCGACGCTCTAATTTTCTTCTATAAATATAACATTCTTATACATTTTCTCAATTTTTCCCCTCCTGCTATTCTTTAACATCTCATCTCCAATTCAACAATTATTTACTTTCATCAGAAGGGTTCCAATAAGGCGATCCTTTGGGTTCGGTACTTTTCTGCATTGGCATTAATGAAATGGTCAAAATTAATCCGCCAATTGTAATCCTCCATTGTACACCTGGAAAATCCACGATGGAATAATATGCGGCTATACAAAATAGGTCGTATAAGCTCTAGCCATCATTAAAAAACTCCCATACAATTGGGCCTTCAAACGAGCAGAAAATTTTGATCTGCCCAATATACTGTTCTATCCTATTCACCCATAACTTCCATATAAACTCTCGTTCTTTACTCATCTCGGCCTCCCAGTTGGTGGTTTAGAATCCACGAGTACCTTCTTCACTAAAGCTTCATCTAGCTTACTTTATTATATAAAAAGATTTCCAAGCATCTCCCCTTTTTTTATACTCAAAAACTTTTATTATATCTCTTTCGTTAAAATCATTTAAAACTTCCATCAAATCTCTTGAGATTCTTAATATATACTTTAATCAAAATTCATGGTTACAAGCATTACTTTCAAGCAAGTATGGAGATCGGCTTACGTTTACCCCTAACCCTATCTATCAATGGATTAATCGCTTCCCGTTTTTCATCTTATCCATACATTCGCCGGCTTGCCTTTGCTGACCTCTTGTTAGCCGAAGCCCACACTATTTAAGACAATTCCCTAGTCCCAAACACTCTACGACCATCCAAAAGATTAGGATATTCAACTCAATGAAATTCCCATCGCTTATCTAAAATCGAGCCTTCTCGATGAGGACCTCGCAGTTTTTCACCACTTGAACCAAGGATCCGGTTAAGAGTTTTGGAAACCATACCCTCCAGCAACCTCGATTTGTTGCCTTCCGCAGATGAGTTAAGATTTTCTATTGGATTACGGCTCAATTGCGAAATTGTTCTACTTATCAACGACGAACTAGCGTAGATAGCAAGGATATGCATTACCTCCATTGCCGCTTTTGTCGAGGCCGTTTCCCATAAACACCAAATGTAACGACATCTTTGCTACTTAAATCAGCAGGCATTCCCTCTAGGCTCGAACCAACCGGCATATTTAGAACCGATGGAAAACAACTTTAATTCCTTAGTCAAGGGGTCAGCTTGTAGCCAGGATTTAGTCATGGGGGGGGGGGGGGGGGGGTTTAAAGAAATTTGTTGATAGCGAAGTCCCCAAATCTCCCATTTTTTATGCCCACTCAATTGTTTATATCTTAGGTTATGTTAAAATTATTTTATATATTTGCATATAACAAAATTTTAGAGAGTATTTCATTATAGATTTTATTTATTATATAAAAATACTTGAGCACAGAGTTGTTAACGCTCCTTTTTAAAAGTAGCTAGCTCCCGCTCCTACCTTCTCAAAAAGAGCTAGCTCCCGCTACTACATTTTTAAAAGGAGCTAGCTCCTGCTCCACGTAATGGAGTGCCACTCCATAACCGCTCCTTTGATTTTCATTTTTTTAGAAGGTATACAAAACAAAATCATATTTTTTTAACAAAAAACTTTATTTATATTAAATGATCTATCAAAATATTTATAACCTTTTATTAGCTTTTAAAAGTAATAAATTTTCTAAATTAGAATCTAACAAACATCCACGCCTCTCTCCTAAGACCTGTTTTGCAATACTAAATAGGCACTCCAGGAGTACTAGAGGTAAGCGGGGTATTGTATTTTATAAAGATATTTTTT